AAAGATATAGCATCTGGAGTCTTAAAGGCTTGAAGATAAACAAGCGGCCATCTACCTGAGAAGCAACCAAGTCCACTATGGAAGAAGCACACTAGCCTGTGTGATCATGCGCTGTCGATGCAGGCATCAAAGAACAAAAAAATCATATTATTGTGAATGAGGGGAAGTGCGGAGTGTAGACCCAAAGCCCATCTGTAGGCAACTGGACATCCCCTTTCAGAAGGGTCGCAGGGAGGAGAAGAGTCAGTCAGGGTGCAGTATAGCACCGATGAAACATACAACTTTCCTCTAGTTCTTTAATGCTTCCCACCCCCCCAATTATCATGATCGCAATTCTACATTACAAATCCGGCTAGACCAGAGGAAATACACTGGTACAGATAGGAACTGGAAACACAGGGAATCCATGACAGATAAACTCCTCAGGACCAATAATGACAGTAGCGATACCAAGAGGGGAAGGGGAAGGTCGGGGAGAAAGGGGGAACCGATCATAATGATCTACATATAACCTCCTCCCTGGGGGACGGACAACAAAAAAGTGGGGGAAGGGAGACATCAGTCAGTGTAAGACATGACTAAATTATAATTCATAAATTATCAAGGGTTCATGAGGGAGGAAGGGTGGCGGAGGGAGGGGAAAAAATGAGGAGCTGATACCAAGGGCTCAAGCAAAAAAAAAGTTTTGAGAATGATGATGACAACAAATGTACAAATATCCTTGACACAATGAATGGCTGTATGGATTGTGATAAGAGTTGTACGAGCCCCGAATAAAATATTTTTTTTAGAAAAGAAAGAAAAAGTTCAAGCTGCACTAAAAGCATTAGCCTAAAACAAGGTTCCAGAAATTCATACAATAACAATTAAAATGTTTCAACGAGCTGATGAAGCATTGGAAGCACTTGTATCTGCCAGGAAATTTGGAAGAAAGTTACTGTACCTGGCCAACTGACTGAAAGAGATCCATATCTGTACCCAATTCCAAATAAAGGTGACCCAACAGAATGCTCAAATTACAGAACAAATGTCATCGCTATCGCTTTCAAATAGCATTTTGCTGACAATCATCCAAGCACACTGACAGGGAGCCACCATAGGTTCAGGCTGGATTCAGAAGAGGACATGGAACAGTGGATAGCATCGCTGATGTCAGATGGATCTGGACTCAAAGCAGAGAATACCAGAAATATGTTCACTTGTGTTTTACTGACTGTGTAAAGGTATACAATTGTGTGCATCGTAACAAACTATGGCTAGCCCCGAGAAGAATGGGAATTCTAGAACAGTTCATTGTGCTTGTGCAAGACTTTGTAGATGGATCGAGAAGCAGTTGTGCAAACAGAACAAGGGAATACTGCATGGTTTAAAATCAGTAAATGTGGGGGGGTCAAGGTTGTATCAACTCACCATACCTATTCAATATGTATGTTGAGCAAATAATCCGAGAAGCTGGATGAAATGAAGAAAAACACTGTATCCGGATTGAAGAAGCCTTATTAACAGCTTTTTCTATGATACATCCTTACTTGCTAAAAATGAGGCCTTGAAGCACCTACTGATGAAGATCAAGTATTGCAGCATTCAATATTGATTACTGATACTATTTAATGTAAAGAAAACAGAAAAATCCTCACAAATGAACCAATAGGTAACAAGATGATAAATGGAGAAAAGATTGAATTATCAAGGATTGCATCTTGCTTAGATCCACAATCAATGCTCATAGAAGCTGTAGTCAAGAAATCGACAACACATTGCTTTAGGTAAATCTGCTGTCCGAGACACCTTTAAATTGTTGAAAAGCTAGCAGGCTACTTTCAGGACGAAGGTGCACCTGGCACAAGCCAAGGTATTTTAAATTGCCTCATATGCATGTGACAACTGGACACTGAATAAGGAAGACAAAAATAGATGCACTTGAATTGTGGTGTTGACAAAACATATTGAAATACCATGGAGTGCCAAAAGAACAAACAAATCTATCTTCTTGGAAGAACAGCCAGAATGCTCCTTTGAGGCCAGGATGGTGAGACTTCATCGCAAGTACTTTGGACATGTTATGAGGACAGACTACCGCCTGGAGAAGGACGTCATGCTTGTAAAGTAGAAGGCCTTGGACAAGACGGAATGCCACAGTGGCTGCCGTAATAGCTCCAATATAAGAACCATTTGGAGGATGGGCAGAACCTGGGAGTGTTTTACTCTGATGTCCACAGGGTCCCCATGAGTCTGAACTGACTCAATGGCACCTAAAAACAGTAACGTGCATTTCACTGTAATTTCTACAGTTCTTCAAAGAGTATGTAAATAAAATAGACTGCCTTGTCTACTCCTCATCTACACGAATTGAAAAATAGAAAAATGTACTTACCTGAACTGGATGTTCACTAAATGAGGCTGGGAGCCATCTGACTGCCAGTAGGTTTCTAGATTGTCATCTCGTAACTGATCCACTCCAAATCCTAAAAACACCAAAGGTGACAATAAATTCTCATGGAAAAGTGGCGCTATACATTCAAAATGTAAAATTACCATATGTATATTTGTCCAGAAAGTTTGAGACCTAGGGTGGCTAAGACCTGTGTCATTTACATTGGCCAAAATTCCTCTACCCTTTGTCCAGACCTCAACTATTAGAAGAAATATCAATTGTTCACACAAAAGTTTATATTCAGAGCCAAGGTGTTAGGTTGTTGGCTATAGTTTTTAAAGAACAACTTGTAGGCTGTACTCAAAAATCAGCATATATTCAAATCCAGCTTTTGTCCTTTCTGCAAGCTGATGGGAATGATACTTCTTTTTTCATGAAAATTACTTTCTAATAAAATAGATTCTACTAACTTTACAATAAAACAGATTCTAGCAATTGAACATACCAAGTCTACTGTGACAAAAAGCATTTAACTACAGAGGTAGCTTCCAAAAGTGGAAACATTCCATTTTAAAATCCCATTTCCCCACAAATTTTTGAAGTTCTCTCATACTTTGAAAAGCCAAATAGATTTTGAAACCAACTGTTTCTAGTTACCATTCTGATTTACCAAAAATTATATTTACCCAGAATCTCATATTCTCCAGACATTCCAGATAATAAAAGTTGAATTGCATTTTGATTTATCCTGATTATAATCATAATAAATTACAGTAATCTCAGAAACAAAACTGGATTAGTGGTAAAATATTGATTTTCCCTGAAAAAGATAGGGTCATTGTTCTCATTTTACTTTTTATGAAACAATATATTTATGGATCACATTCAAAAGATAGAAAATATGGTGAAAATTCTCTATAGCAGTGGTTCTCAACCTTCCTAATGCCGCAACCCTTTAATACAGTTCCTCATGTTGTGGTGACCCCCAACCACAAAATGGATACTTCATAACTGTAATTTTGCTACTGTTATGAGTCGGGTGACCCCTGTGAAAGAGTCATTCAACTCCCAAAGGGGAGAACCGCTGCTCTATACCAATCAACATCTTAGCTATACAGTTTCTCTTCCCAAATATATTATGTTTCTTTCAAATCCTTTCACAGATACTGTATGCAAACAGATGTAAATATCTGATAGTACGACAAAAAGTATAGCTACGAGGATCATATATGCACAGGATGATTCCAGAGAGAAATGCTTAAGCATGGTGCTGCAATGAGTGGGTGGCTGCAGACAAGCTCTCTAGGTAATACACTTGTCTTACAGGAGAGTCCTGGTGGTACTGTCGGGTAGGCACTGGGCTACCAGCCACTCCAAGGAAGAAAGACGAGGCTACTTGCTCCCATAGAGATTTACGGCCGCAGAAATCCTATGTAGGGTTGATATGAGTGAGAACTGACTTGATGGTGGCGGATTTAGACTTGGGTTTAGTCTTATTAGACTGTTTTCAAAAAAGAAAAACTCTGATCCAAACAGTGACTTGTGAGGAGATAAGCTGGGACAGTTACATTCAAGGTTCGAAGTTACAGCAGCAATCTGTTAGAATGTCAAAGTTTTGTAAGTTTCTTTGGGACCCTGCAACTGATCGCAGAATCTAGGGACATGAAGGAAAATACTCAAGGGAGGAGTGGGCGACAGGGGCTGGGGTTGGATATGGAGCAAAGTAGTATCTTTGGAGAGTTAGACATCAGGAACATCTTCAATCTCCAACTCCTTGGAAATAGTCTGGTACCATTAGAGAAGAAATTATGACGTGTCTTTGTCTGGTAGACATGTTCTGTGCATGAGTGTTATTGAAAGTTTTGCCCTATCACTAACCCACTGTTTGTGTAAATAAGTGCCCAGTCACTTAAGTGTTTAATCTGTACAAGTTGACAATTCATATATTTTGGCATGAAAAGCCAGCCTATATATGTATAATTTCCTTTTCTCAATAATCTTTTAAATTCTATAGTACCATTGGCTAACCCTGTCTAACACAGACACTATCAATAGAATCACTTTATGGGATGATTTATAAAATGCTAATGATAAAGATGTCTTTAAAATGAACCAGAGACATATATAAGCCATAGTTTATGTGAAGAGATTGGGGGCTCACACTTAGTTCTAGCCCCAATCTAAGAACAATAAGTTCCTATGGCATGGGCCTGCTCAGTGCTCACCGTCAGGAAGAGACCATGGAAGATGTAAGTGCTATAGGAAAGTGTGATGAAGAAACACGATGGTGCTTGACTATCAGAAAGATTAGTGTCTGGGTCTTCAAGACTGTCTTCAAACAAGCGGCCGGCTAGGTGAGGTCAACTAAGTCGACATGGAAGAAGCACAATGGCCTGTGTGTACAAGGAGACAATTGCTACAATTACTCAAGTTTACACGCCCACTACCAATGCTAAAAATAAGGAAATTAATGGATTTTTACCAACTACTGTCATCTGAAATTGGTCAGACATAAAATCATGATGCCCTGATAGTTAAAGGGGAGTGAATGAAAATGTTGGGAACAGACAAGAAGGATCATAAGTTGGAAAATATGGCCGTGTGATATAGTTAAGGAGCCCATAACAGATTTTGGAAGACCAAGAACTTATTTATCACAAACACCTTTTATTAAGTAGATGGTAACTATACACATATCCACAAGCCACCACCTGTCCATCAGTTTGTCATACTGTGCTGTCTTGTGTATTGCTCGGATGCTGAAAGCTATGTTACTGTTATTTCAAAATATCAACAAGGTGACCCAGGTGAACAGGTTTCAGCAGAGCTTCCAGCGTCAGAATGAGTTTGTTCCATGAAAATGGAAGAGGCTGTCTGCCACAGGGGAAGCAGCCACAGAAAATCCTATGGATAGCATGGAAACTGTGTCAGTTACAGTAAACACAACGAACAGAAGCAGAACAATGTGAGAGACAGTGCCAAAAGATGAGCCTCACAGGTCAGAAGACACTAAGTAGGTCTGGAGAAGAGCTGCCTTCTCAAAGTAATGTTGACCATTAAGATGCGAATGGAGTAAAGCCTTCGAGACCTTCATTTGCTAAGGGGCATGTCTCAAACTGAGAAGAAACAGCTGCAAACATCAATTAATCATTGGAACATCAATATATAAAGCATGAATCTAAGAAAATTGGGAGTTGCAAACAATGAAAATGAACTGGAACACATAAAGGTTGATATTTTAAATGTTAGTAAGCTGAAATGGACTAGTATTCCATTTTGAATCAGAAAATCATATGGTTTACTGTGCAGGGAAAGTCACATGAGGAATGGCATTGCATTCCGCATCTAAAAAGACATTTCAAAATCTAGCTTGAAGCACAATGCTGTGGTAGGGTTATATCTATCTGCCTTCAAGAAAATCCAAGCAATACAACTAGTACTCAAAGGTATGCACCAACCAGTAATGGTAGTGATGCAGAAATTGAAGTTCTCTACTAACCTCTTCAGTCCGAAATTGATTAAACAGGCAATCAAGACGCATTAATAATTATCAGTCGTTGGAATGCAAAAGTTGGAAACAAAGAAGAAAGAACAGTATTTGGAGAGTATGGTCTCGGTGACAGAAACTAGGCTAGAGATCGCATGATAGAAGTTTGTAAGACCAATGACTTCTTCATCACAAATACCTTTTTTCTTTATGGGCTTCTCCAGAGGGAAGACACAGAAATCAGACTGACAACGTATGTGGGAAGAGACGGTGGAGAAACTCACTATCAACTGCAGAACAGACCATCAAATGCCCATATGGAAGTTCAGATTGACAAAAATGAAAATAAATCTGAGAGCCAAAATACAACCTTGGGTCTATTCACCCAAATATTGAGAACGCCTCAAGAATAGAAGTGAGGCATTAAACACTAATGACAAAGGACCTGATGAGCTGAGGAAGGACATCGAGAACATCACATATGAAGAAAGCAAAAGGACAGTAAAAACACAGGAAAGAAAGAAAAGATCAAAGTGGATGTCAGAAGAGATTCTGAAACTTGCTCTTAATTGTAAAGTAACTGTAAGGCAAATGTTAAAGGATCCCTGCTGGTGTGGTGGTTACCTGTTCGGCTGCCAACTGCAAGGTCAGCAGTTTAAAACCACCAGCCGCCCCAAAAGAAAATGATCAGCTTTCTACTCTCATCAAGTTACAGTTCCACCCTGCCTTATCATGTCGGTTTCCATTGGATCAACACGATGGCAGTGAGTTTGGTTTGGTTTTGGAAGGCAAATGGACAAGATAATGAAATCAAAGAGCCGAACAGACAATTTCAAAGGGCAGCTTGAGAAGACAAAGTAAATTATTAAACTGACATGTGGAAAGACCTAGAGTTAGAAAACCAGACAGGAAGAACATGCTCAGCATACCTTGAACTGAAAGAACTCAAAAAGAAATTCAAGCCTCGGGTGGCAAGATTGAAAGATTTTATAGTCAAAATATCAAATGATGTAAACAAAGGCAAACTCACTGCCATCAAGTCAATGCCAACTCATAATGACCCTGTAAGACGGGGTTGAACTGCTCCTGCGTTTCCTACCTCTTTACAGGAGGAGAAAGCGCCAATTTTCTCCCTTGAAGCAGTTAGTTGTTTCAAACTGTATACCTCTCAGTCAGCAGCCCACTGTGTAACCGCTACACAAACAGAGCGCCTCATTGACTGCAGCAGGAAGCATCAAAAGAAGATGGAAGGAATACAAAATCCCTGTGCTAAATAGAACAGGTCGGTATTCCATCATTTCAAGAGGTAACATATGAGCAAGAACCAATGGTACTGAAGGAAGATGTCCAACCTGCACTAAAAGCATTAGCCAAAAATAAGGCCCTAGGAATTGATGAAATACCAAATGAAATGTTTCAACCAGCTAATGAAGCACTCACTTGTCTATGCCAAGAAGTTTGGAGTCAGCTACCTGGCCAACGATCTGAAGCGACTCATATTTGTACCAATTCCAAAGAAACGTAACCCAACAGAATGCTCAATTTACAGTACAATATCATTGATATCAAGGGAAGTAAAATTTTGTTGAAGATCATCCAGCAAC